AGATAGATGTTTTCTCTACCTCCGCCGTGACGGAAATGTTTTCGTCCGACAAGAAATGAGAGAGCTATTCTTGGTTTTCTGAGAAAAATCGAAAAGTGTGCACATTTACCTACACTGGCTCTATATGACATTTAGGGTTTGGGGTCAAACGAAGTTTCAAGCGGTCGATCTATTACTTCATACGCACGCGCCTCGCCGTCGTTTTAAATTACTTTAGAAATCTCCATAACTTGATAGCCAATCGTGTTCATTCGGATTGTCAATAATACTCATCAATTCCGTTTTGAATGAGCTTTCATTCAGTATAAAATTCACTTCTATATCATTTGTCGTTTGAGCTGCAGCCCCGCTGAAAAAACATTTTTTCCAACCTTGTACAGTAACATCTTCCTATCTTTCAGAAAAGGGTGAGCGAATCCGTAGGATGAGCGCTATCATGTATAGTTTTCATCCAGAAAGTAAAGCTGTTTTTTTAGTGAATTCTTTTATTCGATTTTTTAGTTAATATTTCTTCGAATCAATATGAAAAACAACCATTTCGTCTTGAAATTGATACTATTGGTCAATTACAAACACTAAAATATCGTTCATTTAACTCTCCTTCATTATCACCGACTGATGTTCAAGTAGAAGTACATGCATCGGCATTAAATTTTAGAGATTTGATGTTCGCATTAGGAATGATAGAAAATTCAATGGGTTTTGATAGTGAAACATTGAAATATCGCGAACGTCGGGTGAAGCTTGGTTTGGAATTTAGTGGTATTGTCACTGATGTTGGTTTAACAGCTTCACAAACATTTCAAATTGGTGATCTAGTGTTTGGTTTTGCTGATGATTGTTTTGCCACACAAATCATAACAAATCAACATTTCGTCGTTAAAAAACCGTCACATTTATCTCATACAGATGCCGTATAACTTCAAACTGTATTTGCAACAGTTTATGCTGGATTAATTGTTAAAGCACAGCTGAAATCAGGCGAAACCGTACTTATTCATTCAGCAGCCGGTGGTATTGGTCAGGCTGCCATTCAATTATCTCAGTATGTTGGCGCTAATGTTATTTGTACCGTTGGTTCCAATGAAAAACGTGAATTTTTAAATAAAACTTACGGATGTACACAATTTGCTAATTCACATTCAACCGAAGAATGGAAATTAGATGTTCTGAAGCTGACTGACGGTCAAGGAGTTGATGTTGTATTGAATTCATTAAAAGGTGATGCAATTGCAGCTGGTTTAGAATGTTTGAGAACTGGTGGGCGTTTTATTGAAATCGGTAAGGTTGATATTCTCAATCATTCCAAATTGGATATGAATTTATTATTGCGTGATTTGAGTTTCCTCAGTGTTCAAATTGATATTTTAATGCGGAGTGAAACAGATAAAATTCAACAATATTTACAAGCTGTTAACCAGTTAGCGTCTGAGAAACATATTTCACCAATTGTTGATCGTGTCTATGAATTAAATGATACAGAACCGGCATTTCGTTTTCTGATGTCTGGCCAACATAAAGGAAAATTAATTTTAAATATGCAAAGTAAACCCCCAAATGTTTATCCTCCATCAACTATCTATAATCCAACGGTATGTTACATTCTAAGTGGTGGGACGGGAGCATTAGGTCTGCAATTAGTCCAACATATGAGCACACATGGTGCTAGACAATTCATCTTATTATCCCGTCAAGGTAGAACCTCTTTACGATCGTCTGATGCTACCATGCTTGCTCGTCTTGAACGTTTCGGTATTGAAATTTACATTGGGAAAGGTGATGTAGCCAAACGAGACGATATTCAACGTGTCTTGCAAGAAGCTGAAGACTATTTGTTTATTTTATCATCAACCAAATACAGTATTCTTCATTTGGCAATGGTTCTTGATGATGCACCCATTTCAAAACTTAATATTCAACGTATAGAAAATGTAATGCAATGTAAAGTACAAGGGGCACTTAATTTACTTGAATCAATTCCTGATGACAAACTTGAACATGTTATATTCTTTTCAAGTGCTGCTTCAGCATTTGGTAATCCATCACAAGCAAATTATAGTGCTGCAAATACATTTCTTGATGCTTATGCTAATCAACTTGCAAGGTCGTCACGAAAAAAAGTAAGAGTTCTAAATTTAGGTCTTATTGAAGATGTTGGTATTCTCGCTGAAGATTGGAAATTAAAACAAATTTTAACAGCAAAAGGTTTTGGTGAAGGTTTGACATCGATGGGCGTTGCACAACTTGTTGATCATGCATTTCTAGTTAATGATAATAATGAATGTCAAATGTTATATGGGAATTTCCAGATAGAAGATTTTATTCGTTCATATCCAATATTAAAAACCCGACTAGAACATTTAATTGATCATACCATATCGAACAGCGACGGTACTGCAGGTTCTTCATCTAACAGCAATGAAGTAACTATAGAGTCCATCTCCGCATATATTTCAACATTATTAGCAACATCAAATCTTGATGTAACTGAATCATTGACTGTGCAAGGTGTAGATTCGCTTTTAGCTGTTGAATTAAGTGCCGGTTTAAAAAAGAAATTTGGATTAGTGATCAGTCAATTGGCACTGTTAGGTGGACTGTCTGTAAAACAAATTGTAGAATCAGCCTCTCCTTGAAGAAAACAGTATCTTTTCTATTTGCTCTCTTAATATCTTTTTTATATATCGGCGTGACCAAGCGTTATGGAATTTCATTTTTTCTATATTCTAACACTTATATATTCTCAATAATAAAAGTAGACTTAGTAAAATTCTTATTATAGATTTGGACCATTTAGATCTACTACATGTTAAAATTTCATTGATTTTTCTTTAACCGGACCACCTTCCAAGGCAACAGTTCTGTATTGGATTCAAGTTGCCAATTAGCAGGGCTACCAATCAGAGAGGGGAGGGAGGCTAGCCGCCCAAAATTTGAAAAAATGTTTGACTTTCTGCCAAAATTTTAAATATTTTCTTCGAAATTTGTTAAAGTTTTATCGAAAACTCTAGTAAAAACCCGGTTTTTGAGCTCTCTCCCTTTTTTTCTGCCAGCAAGTCAAATAAAAACACGTTCTGTCAATAAAATCTCGCAGAAAGTCTGTAATTTTAGCATTTTCCGTGTCATAGATGACAGAAAGTCGTATGAAGGCACTTTCTAAACTTCTAGACTTTCTGCCAAATTTTTAGCCCCCCGCACTCTTAAAAACAGCCGGGAACTTTGTCAATAAGATATATCGGTATCAATCATCACTGTGACTTTTCTAAATCCATGCCATTTTCGAACTTATATTGATTATTTTTGTTTATAAGTAAGTTGGAAAGTCCAAAGTCTCAGCTAAACAACCACGCAAGTCGCAAATTCCTGTGTCTATCATCCAGACAGAGGATTGGTGATACAAAGTAGAAACCGCGACTTGCGTGATTCTTTAGAGAAGATTTTGGACTTTCTAACTTACTTACAAAAACAATAATGAATGTAAGTTTGAAAAACGGAATGGATTTAGAAAAGTCGGGGTGATTTTTGATACCTATATGTCTTATTGACAATTTAAATCTAATACAGAGCTGTTGCCCGAAAGATGGTCTTTCAAGTGGTGAAAACCGCAGATCTTTGTCTTGTTCCTATCAAAAAAGATTCAAAAATGGCAATTCGCCTTTTGTAAATTTTTGAGGAAAGAAATGTAAGAACATGCATAGCGGTTGTTGCGTGGTAACTAGGAATGCAACGGTAAAGGTTACCGTTTTACCGGTCTAACTGGTTTTTCCGTTACCGCTTTACCAGTTTTACCGTATCTTAGCGGTTTAACGTTCGATATGAATGCATAAGAAAATTTATTAGAAAGGAAGATTATTAAAGAGTGTATTGATGTGGATATTTTAACGAATTTTTATTTCTTCTTTGACTTTTCTTTCTTTATTTTATCGGCTCAAAGAGTCAATAGCGATTTAAATGATGCTGTTAAAAAGGCGTTATACGATGGTGTTCTAAAGCGCCCTGAACTACAACAACAAATGCAACAAAAACAACCGGGTTTCATTCTCAATAAAGACGATTTTCCGGTTTTAAACCTTATAAAAAACAATCGTAATAGCTTACAGCAAGAAAGATCTCATCCAAATGATGACCTATCAAATTCTCAATGAATTCACTCTTCTCTGTTTACAGAGTGAAGAAAGATTAAGACTAGATTACAAAGCAATGGATCCACCTGGTCATTTTATTAAAATAATAACAACATAGAACAAATTGCTGGGAACTAACGAAGAAGTCAGGCAAGAAACAGGCTCTCTCTCATAGTTGTCTTCTACATAAATGTTTAACCGATTAGCGTCTATCTTTGTACCTTTAAATCAATGTAACTCTATAGAAGTAGCCTCGAATAGACTGAAATTTTGTGGTTTGTCTGACAGTGTGGTAAATAATATTGTTGTAATACTTGCAGAGTGGTATAGTTCGAGATCTCTAGATTGCATTTTATCCGAATGGGAATGTTTTGGAGAAAAAAAAGAGAGTTTTCTCTAATAAAAAATTTACTCCTCTTCCCTTTTGCCTTTTCAACGTCCAAAAATGGGGCAGCAGAGCTCTGGAAGTGCTAGACTTAATCCGTAACGTCGAAGCATCCTTCATAATTTGTACCGAAGTTGGAGAACTTTGGAATTCTTTTAAAATACCAGGTTTGAATCGACGTGGTGGGGTGTCGATCGCGGTAGGAAAACATTTAAAAGCATCGAAAGTCGAAACGAAGTTATCAAATACAGTGGTAGTCGACATTTCAGGGATAAGTGAACCATTAAGAATTATCGGCGTGTACTGGCCGAAAAGCCAGAAGAGAAATCTAGATGAGTTAAATCCGTTTATCATTAAAAACACAATTATTTCAGGCGATTTTAATGCTGCCGTAACGGAGTGGGGTAGCGCCAAAACTGATGGTAGAGGGAAAAGTATTAAAAAGTGGCGAGATCAAAATAACCTCTTGTTTATTCCGGAAACGTTCGATTCTTCTAGACGATCAGACAGAAATATTGACTTCACGTTCACAAATTTTCCCGGAATAAACGGGAAGACTCTCGTTTTTGGAACCAGTGACCACTGACCAATTGTTTATAGGTCAGAATTTATTACCTTTACAACTGTAGATAGTTTTTCACATACGAAATGGAATTTCTTTGAGATGTTATTAGCGCTCCTTCAGGACTTCTGGGTAGCTCTACAGAAGAAGGTATCCGCAGTAGACTGGTATAAATTGTATAGCAATTTTTTATCAGCATTAAAAAACAGAGTGACTGTGTGGCTCGATAAAGATAAGTGGAAACCATCCCTTCCACAGGCTATTTTGAAAAAAACTAAAAGTGGTGAGAGTTGTTCATAATAAATATTACGACAATAGATACGAGGAAGATAGAATCAGACTACGAATAATGTCAAATGAAATAAAAAAAGAGATATGGAAATATAAATCTGACAGATGGAATAAATTTCTATCAAACATCGAAGAATCTCATGGAAAATCAGACACTGCTTTCTGGTCAAACTTGTCTCGCATTTATCGACCAAAATCTCCCCCCTTTTCCAAACTACGTGTAGGCGACACCACTATTTCTGATCAGCAAGAGATAATGGGAAATTTGTTTAAATATTATTCAGAACAATTCTCAGCTCCTTTCTGTGATCCTAACAACCCAGATGATACACAGTGCAAAGTTGAGTACGAGGAAATTATGGCAAAGCTAGTTTCATGCTCAAATACTGTAGCTCTTACTTCAGCTTATGAGATTAATAACTTAATAAGAGCCTTAAAACCAAAAAATCAACAGGTTTTGACAATATATCAAATTTTATGATAAAAAAACTTACACCGACGTTTATTGACTGTTTATGTTTTGGTTTCAACGAATGGCTGTCTAAAAGTATATTTCCTCACGAGTGGCAACTTGCAAAAATTGTTACCTTGAATAAACTAAAATCAGATATTCCCCCCTGCGAACACACTCGACCAATATCCCTATTACCCACACACTCAAAACTGTACGAAAAAATTATTCTTAAAAGAGGAAAAGGCTCCGCGAACTCAGATAGTATTGTGCCTCCGGAACAATCCGGATTTAGGGAAAATGGACTACTTCAAACACGTGTTCTGTCAATCTATCAGGAGGTAAAAAATAACCTTGCGGCAAATATCCCTGTTTTAGCTGTCTATGTAGATTATAAAAAAGCATACGACATGGTTTGGCA